AGATAATAAAAATGTTTAAAACTCATTATATTCTTCCTAAAGCTACTAAAATTCTTTAAATCGACAAAAAATTGTCCCGGTAAAATAAGGAAGAATAAAGTAACTACAAAGTAAATTCGAGCATTTTTACTATCCTTAGATATTGTCCTTATCCTTAGATTTTTACTATCCTTAGATAGTAAAAATGTTTAAAATCTATTATGTTCTTCCTAAAGCTACTAAAATTTTTAAAATCAGCAAAAAATTGTATCTGTATATCAAGAAAGAATAAAGTAACTACAAAGCACTATCCTTAGATAGTAAAAATGTTTGAAACTCATTATATTCTTCCTAAAGCTACTAAAATTGTTTAAATCGACAAAAAATTGTCCTGGTAAAATAAGGAAGAAGAAAGTAACTACAAAGTAAGTACGAGCATTTTTACTATCCTTAGATAGTAAAAATGTTTAAACTTCAAAACAATTTTTATGGTAGCTATTTTTAAAATTGAATCTAAAATTCAATTTCCATAAAAGCTGATTTATCATTTTCAGGAAGAAGAAAAAAATCAGAAACAAACAACTTCTCTTTCAATTTTAATTACCACTTCGTCAATTTCAGTCTCTGTCTAAAATTCTTGATTAGCAACCTAATCCAATAATTTAAATATTCATGGCATGGTCAGGCTCATTAAGTACACGAGTCACATCATAGGTATAATCAACTTCCCGTCCTGTTTCCAAACTTTTCAGAGGTATGTTTAAAAAAGTGATTCATCAAATATCTGCCATAAAAACGGATTTGGTAACATGTGTTCTTCTCAAAAAAAGGGGGCTGTGTTCTTTAGCCCGAAACTTGACCTCTTCATCAAAAAACCGACGCAATCTAGCCAGCGCCGCCCCACGACCCTAACTTGTCAACAGATTCCATGCAACATCTTTATCAAGGCTAGGATGTAATAATTAGATTGAGAAGATAGGACCATGTTTATAGAAAAAGAATGAATTTATTTGAAATTCGTCTGAAAGCCCTGATTTTTTTCCCCCATTTTAGTGTTTTTATTTTTAAAATGGTTAAATGAATATTTCTGAAGTTAATTTCATTTATGAAATTATTGGCGAAAGAAAAAGCGCTAGTGAGAAGAAAAAAAATTAAGAAGAAAAATTAAAAAATTGTAGTTAAGCTTATTGAAGGAAAGATATTACTAAAATTTATTACCTTATCATGTTCTTTTTTTAATAAGTTTTTTATTGATAATAATATTAGAGCCAATGGGCGTGCGTCTAAAAATATAAGTGCACTGTAAAAAAATTCAGAACAATTTACGGTACAAAGTACCGGTACTTTGGGTGCATCATTTGTAAAATCTACTTTTATTATTCAGTATTATACCATAATTTTTATAGTAATATTTGTTTCGTGAGAAATTTTACGGTAATTATTACTGTGAATTATATGGTATGTCTGATTTTTTGTTCCGTATCATGTCCTGGTAAATACTTTTAGGTAAAAATGAATTTCACGGATAATGCACCCTACTTTGCATAGTAATTTGATCTGGAATTTTTACAGTAGTATAAGAAAAATCTAAGCCTCAGTTACAAATCCTTGAGCCACACACTTTTAAAATACCCAAGAGAAGAACAGTAATTATTTTACTTTAATTGTCTGTCTTAATATTTATTGAATAGTTTTAAAAGTATTTTAAATTGTACTTCAAAATTTCTTCATATTTTTACACCTGCGAGAACGATCTCCTTTCCAACAGTTTCTCTTTTTTAATTTTTTAAAACAAAAAAACGAAGAAAACTTTTGCAAATAATTCGCATAAAAAACGAAAAAACGATGTAAATGATTGTTAAAAAAACGAAGAAAAAAAAATACGAAAATTATTTTTAAGCGTATTCTTGTGCATTAATTTATTAAAGATTGAATAAAGAATTTTGAATAAAGAAAGCAGATTGGTCATTGTGACAGTTACGAAAAATTATCTTCCACGAGATTGTTGTCATAGATTTATTTATTAGTTAAGATATTTCACATAAAATAACTCTTTGGACTTCAATGCCTCCTTATACACCTTACACTCAAGTCACACCTTTGCATCTTTCTGTTAAGTAACTGTATTATTCTATGATTGTAAGTTATTATATAGAAAGTAAGTTAAAAGTAAGGAAGTTGTGATTTTTAATTTTTAAGTTCTTACTTTTTTTAATTAACATGCTTAACTCCGAGTTCAGAAGATTAACTTTAAAAAAATCTTAAAAAACTGTGTTATATGAAAGTTTAAAGCACTATAAAATGTTAGTGCTATAAAGCGTAAGAATTCTGGAAACTTTAGAAAATTAATGCATCGAAATTGTAGGCGGGATGTAGCATTGAGTGAAGTAAAAGATTTATTTTAAGTTAATACGACCCCGAAAAAAAAGTATGATCAAAACTACCAAAATTTAATCATCTTTTTTCATGATACTTTAGAGCATGGTATGGTATTCGATTAAATTTCTTTCTGTTTTGTATTTCTTACTAAATTTGTGATAGTAAGAAATATAATTTTAAAACCAGAATTTACAGATAACCGTTGTCATGTAAACTGAAAAATTACCAAATGAATAGTTTAAATACCGTATATTTTTGGTTTTATTACCAGAATTATGTTTCTTTTTATTTATTTATTTATTAAAAAAAACTAGAAATGCTATTACCATGTAATACAGTAATTTTGCCAGGATTTTTTCCCCTTGAAATATTACATATTTAAGGGTCAAAATCAATTATTATTCTTTGCTCCTTCTTATATTGAATTTTTCTATCAAATTATAGAGTAAAATATTAGAAATATTCATAACCCATGTAACATTATATAATATTTCTTGTTCGTCCATGGAACGATTCTAAATTAAAAGAAATTCTACACGTTTCAAATTTTAAAGATTGTTTAGACTTTTACTGCTTTTGATACCATGTATAATCCACTGAAATTAAGACTCAGTATATTTTTGCTTTTGAATAATATTATTTCTTAATATGTTTCAGTAGTTATGTTCTATTTGTTTAATATAAAATACAGTGGAGCATCGTTTATACGACGCCGAAGGGACCACCGAAAAACGTCGTATAAACGATAACGTCGTATAATCGATTTCTACTTCTAAAACTGAAACTAACTCTGTTTTCAGTTAATTTTAATGTTTAACGTGTTGATTTACATAAATTTCTAAATTAGACAAAACAAAACAAACAAATGACCAAAGAAGAAAAATTGCAGTGAGCAATTTGAATGTATGTTGCCTTTAATTATATTTTCTTGCTATTAGTTTCTGCAATGCTTTGAATAGCGAGTTGAACTTACTGCTTTCTATGATGCAATTTTAAATTTCTAATCACGGCTAAATCTAATGGCTGAAGCGCACTTGTGCAATTTGCAGGAAAAAAGAGAGCTTTTACATTTTCCAAAATAATTAGTATCGATGGATGCGCTGGACATTGGTCGATGAATAGCAAAGTTTTTCGTTTTTGCCTCTTCATAACATTGTCTAGTTTTTTCAGTCATCTAGTAAAAATTATGGTCGTCATCCAAGCATTCTTGTTGGCACCCTTTTCTGTATCATTCATGTTGGCAAATTCCGCCCTTTTTTAAAATACACAAGAAAAAATAAAATAAACGTGAACAAAATCTAAAAACCGACGTATAACCGATTCTGCGCATCGTATAAACGATATATTTTTACATTAAAATGAATAGGAATGATTTGGGACCACACTAAAACGTCGTATAAATGTAAACGTCGTATAAGTGATCGTCGTATAAACGATACTCCACTGTACATTAATGAAAAAGTT